GGCTTAATCTGATTAATATTGTACAATGAGCCATATTTGCGTTTCGTTTTCAATGGAGCTGCAATGTCCAACTAGCCTCGCCAACCTCAAAACGGTAGAGATCCCGCTGTATCCGAAAAGTTATAGTACTCTCGGCGTGCCAGATAGAGATTGCATTTGCATCTGAAGTGAGCTTTGTAAAGGTTTTATTTTCTAGGGTGTGGGGGGGGGGGGGGGAGAGGCTTGTGGCAAAGTTGGATCTGGTAATACTAATAGGAAAACCTGGTTAAAATAATTAGTTTCTAGTGTCGTGAACTCAATCAGACCCACAGCGTCTCAGTCTCCCATCATTTCATTGTTCTCTTACAACATGCTATGGCTCGGATGATGATGATAATGATTTTTTTCATAGTACTACTGCTACTACTAATAATGATAATAGTAAACAAAAAATAATAACAATAATATTAATAATAACAATAATAATAATAATAATAAAATAATAACAATAATAATAAGTTGCTTGTATGTAACGCATTTCCACTCGGAAAGTGTTCAATGCACTGCTGTACATCATTACTGCTTTTCTATTGTTTTTTTAAATTATCATTTCCCTTTGTCATGAATTGAAACAAAGCTAGTACACGACCCCCACCCCACCCCCGGGGGAAGGACGTATAGATTTCTGTTCACTACAGCTGGTTTCTGGTTGTTTTCGCTCCCGTTGTGCACAATGCACCACTGTGCTGTCCAGTGCTCTGCGAATTACAGAGAAATGTAGACCATGAACACCCCAATCAGTAGATAAATATGAAGGAACCCTGAGGTACCTCTTCGTTCCTACTCGCTGGAGCTAGATAATGGTTAATGTCTTGCATATTTGTCTTCATTGATCGTGGCATCTAAGAGACACGATATGTAAACATAATATGTATTATCTAAGTAGAAAGAGCAGCTGTCTGCCAAATTTGCTTTACAGAAAATGTGGTGGGTACGTATGTGCACAGTATGGTGCATTACGTCATGTCTGCTATTTCGATCGTTTTATGTGGGAACTGTTTCTCCGTTGCTATATAAGCACTGTTGACTCGGACTGAAGCAATAGTTTAGTATGAATGGGATTTTTTCGAAGTATCCAATACAAAAAATAGTAAGTGCGATCCGGCGACAGCCGTAATCATAAGAGTGGCCCCGTTTCCTTTCAATGGCGAACTGCTGTGTATGTTTTCCCTGCCAACCACAACTACCGTGTAAGGATGATAGGAAGGGACGAATATGATAAACAGAGTAAAACAAGGAAACTAGAGACCGGAAAAATGAGTCATGCACCAAGTTTTGTTTTTGTACAATTGGCTGACAAAAACTTTTACTAATCAGTGTTACGTCTTAAACCAGGGGTGTCAAAATCAATCGCCTTAGGGACCAAAGTCATATTACACTGAAGGTTGAGGGCCAAACTGGATAAACACTTATTGGACAGGGGAAAACCTGAACATTTTTATTAACAATGACATGAACTAAAATAGACAAAAGTTAAAATAATGACAAATCAAGGCTAGTCAGTTTTCCGTCGTATGTCAGTATGTCAAAGCTGGATGTTTGGCATCATTTCTTGGCAACAAGTTAATTTATATTTGGAGTAAGGTTGTGTGTTACGGCGGTTCTCAGGATGGACTGCCTAAGATGCTCTCGTTGGTCGTTGCTCCCCAGACAAGGAAAACCGCTACCCTCTCATGCCCCCCAGAAGAAGAAGAGGAAGAAGAGGAAGAAGAGGAAGAAGAAGAAGAAGAAGAAGAAGAAGAAGAAGAAGAAGAAGAAGAAGAAGAACAACAACAACAACAACAGCAGCAATAACATCAACAACAATAACAACAACGCTCTATCTGGTTTTCTTTTTCCATTGCGTATTACAGACTTTTAAAAAAGCGGTGATTGATACATAAAGCAAAACAAGAAGGGCAGTAAGCAAGAGGAAAATACTGTCCAGCCATTTAGATGAGACGGAAAATAACTAAAGCGAAAGTTGTCACTTTACGAAAGACACTGATAATATTGTTTTACAAAACAAACTATATTGCAGCAATTTCCTCACTTTATAGAAGTGTGTCATTCAAAAAGCGCAAAGGACAGGTCAGAGGAGGGGAGAGGGGGCATGAAGTAGAGCACGGCTGGCATCTCTTCTGGATATTATTCTGGAGTCATCCTGCCGTTACAGCAATCACAGTAAGGCCAAGACTGTTTATATCGAAAGCTGAAAAGTGAAATTTCGACACAATAATGACTTGAAAACAAAATTACGACAATCTAACTGTTTTTTTTGGGCAATTTGTCCCACAACTAAAAGAAAAGTGTTTATTAATTTTGTTGTCCTCCTTCCCCTTAAGGCTCGGGACAATAATAATAATGATAATAACAATAATAATAAAAATAATAATAATTATAAAAAAATGATTTAAAAAACAGTAATAACAAAGTGAATTTATAAAGCGCATCTCCACTAAAAAAGTTTTTAACACATTTTACAATTGTTGTTTTTTATACAAAGAATCTAACTATAGTTCTTCCTCTCCTCAATTACATATAACATATTATTGATAAGTGGTAGTAAAATTAATATAAGGGGAGTCATTCATTCGTTGTCGAGAGAATGAGATAGATAGATAGATAGATAAATAGATAGATAGAGAGAGAGAGAGAGAGAGAGAGAGAGAGAGAGAGTGAGAGAGAGAGAGAGAGAGAGAGAGTGAGAGAGAGAGAGAGAGAGAGAGAGAGAGAGAGAGAGAGAGAGAGAGAGAGAGAGAGAGAGAGAGAGAGAGGGTAGTTTCAGAAAAAGTGGTTCTACTGTTAAGGAAGTGACACGGAAGACTAATATAGGTATAAAGGTCAGATTATCAAACTTTCCCATATAAAGACAGTAAAGAAGAAAACTCAATTTTTTTTTTTTACAAAGACTGCAACTTAATCAAAGAGCATCTGTGAAGCCCCATCTCCCAGAAAGAAAACACGGGATGCTGTGAACCCTTGAAAGTGACATCTTGCCCTATTTCTCTTCTCTTTGTTTTGTTTTTGTAAAGTGTTTTACGGCGCTCGCAACTGCATAAGGTCATATGAGCGCGCGGGACACACCTAATATTTTCAGTTGGTAGGAAATTTAGAATTTTGTCTAGGTGGCGGCCGAAGCCTACTCATATCGATTTTAGACCACCAAGGGATCTTTCACATGCGCAACTTGCACACGGGCCCTCCGAGATTTTTCGCCCTTGTCCGAGAAGGCTAGGTGTAGATCTTTCCTACCAGACGATCAGGGGTGTGGCTGAATGACAGCAGTAAGAAAAAGCGAAGGAGTAGCAGTAGAAAGGCTGCAGAAAGAATCAGGAGCCCAGAGGAAGGGGCAAAGGATGTGAGGGGGTGGGGGCAGAAAGAGGAGACGAAAGCAGACGACAGAACATTGCTAGAGAGCAGGAAATGAGGTGAAAGGAGACAAAGTTAGAGAAGAAATTTTTTTCGGTCGCTACCCGGATTCGAACCCGGGACCTTTTGAATGAGAGGCCAACACCTTAACCTCTAGGCCACCTTTCTCTACTTTTAAACTTGCACTTCTGACGGAGGTCAATCTTTCGTTAGAGTCCTGCAGACTTCACACCTCTAACGGGACGGCTTAAAGTATTATAAAACGCCACTCACATTTACTTAAACCGCAAACGTCTGAGTGGCAGATTAAATCTGGAATTCACAGAGCTAGCTATAAAACGTAAGATCATACATGTACTATTTTTGGCGATTTTCTTTTTTTCTGTCTCAGTTGAGTTTACGTTATCAAGCAAACTATTTGAAAAATGCTAGTTATGAGACGGAGGCGTTTGATACATGTATTTATCTGTAGTGCTGTACTTCAACACGGTGTTAAAGAAAGCCTGAAAAAGTATCTCTCTCTCTCTCTCTCTCTCCCTCTCTCTGTAAATATATATTTATATATATTTATATATATATATATATATATATATATATATAT